GTGCAAATATTTGGATGTCACTTTATAGAGCTTATGGGATTCCCCGAAGCTTTTTCAATAGTCAAGAAATATGGGAGTTATTGAAATGAAAACGAAAACAGACGGAACTTATGGGACGACCTGATAGAATGAATTCACAACATAGTCTCTTATACCACCTTGGAAGATCTTTGTTTATAGAATTTTTTACACGATAACATGATATTTTTGGAATTACCTACTTACCAAAATTTCACCTTTTATTAAAATGAGAATTAACAATAAAAATTATTAATGATTAATTGTTATATCATAATCTACAGTAAAAGGCGTCTCTTGGCCTTGCAACTTTTTGCTATAGACTTTTTTCCTTGACAATTTTTTTTCTAACAACAATAAATTCACCCGAAACTTTACCTAACTGAGACTGTAGAAAATAATTGAAAATTTACAAAACATCGTAAGAACGACGTTTACTGAACTACTGACTAAACATTCGCTAAATATGTTTTAGTGATATTGTATTCGCGTGAACTTCCGGCACCCACGTAACTATGTAAAAACCGCCTCTGTTTCCTGTTATTGCATTTCTTTTTATTTCCAATTTGCCCTAGGCATAACAATGCTTGCTCATTTGCAACAGCAGCAGAACATTCGAGGAATTTTGGGAAAATGGGATTTTCTCAGTCGCGGCTCAATGCAAACGAGATTTGCCTCAGCTCTGAAGAAAAAACGCGAACGCACGTGCGAGCGTGGATATGCCAGAGAACGTTCAGTCCTTGACGATGACGGGGTTCCCCCGTGCGACACGTAGCAGAACAGCTCTCACGAATGCGACGGGGCAATGTTAGAGGATATTGACATGAATAAGTATTCTGACATGAAAAAAGTAGGGAGAGATGGATGGATACTCACAATTTTGAAAAAAAATAGTCGATAAGGTCAAAAAGCACATATCGCTGAAACATTTGTAATTTGAATGTGTATTGTACACCGCGCGCGCAACTTCACGACTTCTAAGACTAGAAACTGCTAATATTCAGAGATTTCCCCTTATCTTCTTTTCTCTTCTGTGAATTGGACTCAGCGAATTGTCAAAGCTTTACTGCGCAAACTTCTATCCGTGATATTCCTGAAAATTAGGCATTGAAGTTCAACAATCAAGAATTAGAAACAGTATTCAAAAATCAAAAAGACCATTGAGATAAAGCTATGCATTTGACAGCATAAGGAAAAAAAGCCGCGAAAATTAATTTTATTGCCAGGTGGACGCCAAACAGCACTATAATAATTGTTTTGTAAAATATGGAAGTATTTGAAATTTGGAAGGAGATGTATTACATAGTTGCATGGGTTGTTCAATTTGATACATTGGAATTTATTCAAAACAGCCATTCTGAAGGTTAAAAACCTTTGAAAATGCAGCTGAGAAAATCGTAAATATTTTGGTCCGTTTCCCAGCAAAAGTCACCATACTCAGCAAATGGTAACCAAAGACAGATGGTAAGCCAAGGCACTTTATATGGTAGTGAAGACCCGCATATTTGAGACAAGCCGGCGAAACCACGCTTCTTGACCGTCTCCCAAATTTGCCCACTTTATTAGGTCACAAAGCAAATCAACCTGGCACTGCGATAAGTGGTTAAAATTGAATCTATCGAACTAAATAAACCTGGATCAAGAAACTGCCCTGTCAAGAGCACGGTAGAAAAACTGTGTATAACATGTACTGCATAGCGACTACAGAAGACAGTTTTCTCAGGAAGCATTTTTTTGATAGTTTTCATAATTTTTCTTCCCAATGCTTTCGTTGAACTCTGTGCCTAGCTTAGCTGAACTACATCATTAGATTAGCAACTGTTCATTATCGCAAAATGGACGACTAACTAATTACTTAATCCAAATGATCTCGTCCTAAAGCTAAACTACAAACCACCAGACTAGTGAAAACAGATAAGCTTCCGGATGCAAGAACTCCAGAGATAAATTGGTTGACTCAATAATTCGTGGTGAGCGAGATAGTTCTTGTAGCATGAGGACAAGAGAATTCTAGAGTCTTCGTTGTCTGCGATGCAACTGACTCAACTGTGGTCGAAAAAGTTTTGTCTCGCCGGCGACTGCATGGGTTCCGGGCTCTTATTCGAATTCAGATAGAAGAAAAGCAAAGAGAAGGAAAGGATGAAGGGATGAGCAGATGTGAAATTCGGTAAAAAGCTAATATATTTTAAGCTCAATGAGCAAGTAGCTGCGAGAGAAGTATTCTAATTCTTATTTAAATTTTACTCTTGTTATTCTTTTCGTTTCCAACATGTATTTCTAGGCAAAAATTCGTATGTATTTTTTTTTACTTTTTTTGTTCCTTATAGATATATACCTTTCACAATCCTGGGGTTAGAAACAAACAATATTGCTACTTTTTCTCATGCTCAATTATGCCAACATCGAAAACCGCATCTCACATTAGATTTATCTAACAGAAAAGCGGGAAAATTCCTGATGTAGCTTTTATTGACGTCTGAGGCGCGAAAGAAAACGCTGAAAAAATGTTAGCGCAAGTGCTTCGTCAAGGAAAAGGGGACAGAATCAATGAAGTAGATTGGAGGGAGAGTAGGGGAGCGGAAATAAGAAGTAAATGAATTCGAACACATTTAGTCACATTAAACGTCTTTCCAAAGCAGCAGACAGTAGGATTCCCCTATTGGATAGATCATATGAGCTTAAACAATTCTCATAGCCTACTTATAACAAATACTTAAACGAAGTTTGAAAGGTTTACAGGATGAAGAAGCGCAAATGGTTTAGAATCGGTTATTTGTTGCCTTAAAAATATGTAATCAAAAATTATTTTGAAAATGGCTAAATGCAGTTAAAATATTACTGGTAAGTGCGTACTTTGCGTTTTCACATTTAATTGAGCAAGATGAATTTTGAAAAAAGAAAAAGAAAAATTTGAAAACAATTTAAAAAAAAGGTCGTAATCGAATAATGCGAATTAAGTCGATATGATAGTAAATAAAGCAAAATAATGGAAATATTAGGCCTACTTAATCTTGGCATGATACCAATATTAAAGATTGTTGTCTAAGGGTTACTAAGGTTGAAATCGTTTTTCAAATAATAACTGTAAATTGCTGATGTAATATTGTCATTATTGACTGTTTTTATTAGTAATAATAATTAACTTTATTGAGAATCTTGTTGACATCAAAGAAGAGTTTACAAACATGTAGATTCTACAAAGATAAGTGTTATACTGTATATACTCAAACTACATCAGCTGATATGGCAATGACTGAGTGCAAGATAGAATTTTTGAGAGCAACAAATAAACGTGTAGTTCAAATACAGGCTGATTTTTCTATGTGTTCAAGCTTGTAGCGAAGTTCTCAAGCAGATTTAAATCTTTATAATCTGACTTCGCAGAAAATGCGAGAAGAGCGTCGGGTGAGGATCAGTCGGCTAGCCGGCCGTGCCTAGTACTGCCGGCGTGAGCTATTCTGTGTGTCTGACTGCTCGACCAAAACTCAACTCGCATCTATGGACGTTTTCGATGTAAACGAACAGCCCATAGTGATCTTTGCCAAAGCTCGATTACCGTATTCTAAGCGGCTCAGGGGTTTTTCGAAACTGAGAACTGGTTGGGAACTTCACTCTATTCTGGGTGATGGCATACTAATCGGAAACGTAAACTGAATGACGAAAAAGTGCAAGTTGATCGTCAAAAAATCGGCAAACCGGTTCTATTACATGGATAAAAAATGCTGAGATAGCATACGTGCATGTACTTATGTTTGGCTCCCACTTCATTTCTTAAGCTTCAAGGGGCCTCAAAATTTATTGCGTCCACCTCGAAAAAGTAAGAGCATAGTCAAAAATGACCTTTTTATATTTCTCAGTCAGAAATGATGTTTTAGTCAATTGTGCATGGAAGCTAAAGGGTTTTGATGAATCTTCAAAAGCGAATACGCAAAAAATGTTTTGGATTCTATACAACACGTAAGGTCCGAAAGAGAGCATTTCAGTTGAGGTGATGACTGTTCATATTCGAATGGATAACCATTTTGTTTATTATTTACCTAAATTTTAGCGAAAGCGCGTCATAATATCAAGGTGGCAATCTCAAACCATTGCTGTTAGAATTCAAATAAATGAGAAAACAAAGAAAATAACGAAATATTGAGTTCCTCGGTTTTGCTTCGCGATCTTTGAGGTTTTTAGGTTTCACAAACAACCTGAGTTGACCACTCTGTGGCAATTTTTTGCCCATTATGGCAGGGAATTTGTAACCGAGTATAATGTACTATTTTCACTGAATTTTTTTTGACTGGCGCACCTCTGAGTGCACAATAAATGATAAAAATGCTTAACTTGCTTCTCAGATGAAATAACAAATTTCTTTGAACTATAAGTTGGACGTTAGCAAATTCAGGGGGATTCCAGCAGACTCACTTCGAACTAAAGCGCGGGAACGGCAGCCGAGGCCGACAATATGCGGGCTATGGAGAGTAAAAGGCAGTAAAGAGCAAAGACAAGACCAGAACGGAAAAGTGTGATTATTCTTTAGTAGAACAGAAAGTGGTGTAAATCCTGATAGCAAAAAAACATAAGGACAGAAGAAAAAGACTCAAAAAAGATATCGTTTATTCTAATTTGAAAAAAAAAACTGAGCAAAGGATCTAATTAGCTTCGAAATCTTCGCAGAAAAGTTCAATTTGAAAACCTCTAACGCTGTTATAGTTATATGATATGTGATTTGTTAGAGACGTGTAGTAAAGTTATGAAAAAGTTCAACACTCTTCGAGAAGGTCGAACAGGTGTTTTGTTTGACATTGACACTTTTCTGGTTTTTCAAATTTCTCTATTGATTTTCTAAAAAATCACACGAAGGAGGACTGAATGATATTTTGCCCCACCAAGAATTAATAGATGCAGTATAAACAAAAAGTAAAGCTATGGGCCAAACTTCACCGTAATATGGTGTGAGCGAATTTATCAAAAACAACAATAAGAAAGACACTAACCAAATTTAATGGACCCCTTGCGCGTTGGACTCCACCTTGACGGGCTTCTGAAAATATACCACTGAATTTTTTTGAAACTCAAAGATAGCGAAAGCAACCAGTTTGATGCACTCACATTGATTTCCAGCATGGAACTCGAACACGACATTCAGCATCACAAGTATTTTGCTGGAAAAGCAGCAGTTGAGACCGGACGGGGACGCAATGATCGATAACGACGGGGGGGGATGATGAACATAATAAACAAAGCGAACGGAATGATACACAGCGTCCGAAAATGTGAAAAGGATGCGCGGGTATCGTTGAATTTTCGGAGATAATGGGAAGGAGACGATTTGGATCGTCTTTGTCTGGAATTGAGATTCAAAAGTGGTAAATCCATTTGTTGGAAAACTTACGCCCAAAAATGAAAATCACACTTATTTTGACTTTTTTACTCAATTTAAATCTGGATAAAATCGATTGGGAGTGGGTGAAAGCCAGTTCGCACACAATGAGACTAGTTCGATGAGAATGCGACGAAAAAGCGGTGCGTGGGGGATGAGCGCTGATCTTCACTATGACAAAGATCACGCATGGATGGCGGATTTGTTCAAAAATTGCAGAAACCTGGAATTTTTGCGTTTAACAGGTAGAATTCGCAGTTGGAGGAGTTGACATGATTACAATTTGAAAATCAAAAAAAAGGTTACTGTTAAATCAGGTATCTATAAAAAGATGTCGAAAATTCCATAACGATATTTTGGCAGTCAGGTAAGCCGGAGAGTAAAAAAGCAAGGTTGAAATAAGGATGTCATTTTTAGCTACACTTGGTTTGGGAAAATTGAGTAAAGCGTGGATTGAGAGATAGTTTGCTCATAGAACTTGCGTTTCAAGTAATAGACAGATATGAGGAATAATTCAGCTTCTATATCTATCCTAACGGCTATTCCCCTAATGGATGGGTCCATAACAAACTGAGACAACAGTGTGCCTTATCTGAGCAAACACACCCCCACTAACATATTTATAAACAAATTGTTTGTTCAGAATCACAACGCTATGTAAACATTCCCTCATCAAAAATGCTCTTTCCCGATCCCTATGGATAGCGGTGAAAAAAAAAAACTAGAACAAGGCTTTACAGAGGTTTTCTCGAACGATCGCAGTGAATGCCGAGCTGCGTCGAGCGGCTGGGTGTGGGAGCTGCGTCGATGAGAGTCACGCCGGACCACGCCCCCAGGGGCCCGCGGATGAGATCTCCGTTTCTCGAGCCACCTTCGAGTTCATCAAAACAGCTACATATGCTAGCTCAGTCTGAGAATTTGCAATGCAATGCATGGAAGAGAGCTGCAGAGAATGTAGCTCAAAAAATTCGAAATAATTTTTATTATGTAGGATATTTATTGGCATGAAGTCGGCGAGCTTATCGCGATGTAAATTATTCATATGACGATAGTTATGAAATGAGATAGCACACAAGCATATTATCGGGGTAAGAATGAGAGAAAGTCTCACTCGTTCGTAAATGTCACATAATGGGTAAAGAAATTCGTAAAGTTGTCCCATAAGCTTTTTTAACTCAGTTCCTGCTAATATACAAAATTCGAATTAGGACTCAAGTTGTCAACCAGGGCTCGGCACGAGGTGGCTTTTCGAAAATTGCGAAAAGCGAAATTCCCCTTGACTTTCGCCATTTTTTACGAAGTCTCCTTTGGTCTTAAATCCTAAACGTAAAAAAACCTTCAAGAACGAAACGTCGACAAAGAAAAAAGTTCACAATTTTTGCGTCTTTTCGGCCTCAAAAACAATACCCTCTTTGCTTTTCGTCCCCTAAAAAACGATATCCAGTTTGCTTGCAAGCCACCTGTACCGAGCCCTGATCATCAACTCTGATAGCGCAAAACAAGCTATGCAAAACGGCCATCAAATATTCGTACTAAGTTTGATCCACAATAAACAAATGTAAAATGTATCAAAAGAACAGTTTAATTGTTTAGATTCGTAGGCTCCTTAACCTGCTCATCCATCTCCATATCAGACATTTATAGATATAGGTTGCTATAGTTTCTCCACAAATGATAGTCTATAACAAAAATACATATACGAGAATGACACTCTTATTCTTTTCTTGCAAAATTGAATAATTATGCACACAAGCGCCTGTGGAAGGCTGGAATATGCACTTTAAAAAGTTTGTAGCGTATGTATACAAAATCAATCAAAGATTTATGACCGACACTGAAAACGCGATTTGAACGCGATGTTGCGACTGCAGTACTGCTACAAATTTGTTGTTTCCCTATCGAACACTGATTTTTGATATTTGGAACTCATATTACCGGGCTTCGCCCGGCACCACATTTACTTCAAGGCAAGAACCGAAGTCGTTATTAAAACGAGAGTGACAACTTTGGCTTTTTGGTTGTACCGTTTTGTTCCTACCTTGGTTTTGGCTGAATAGTTCCCAGGCATTCGGAACTCATCGTGAGGAAGGAGCTCGACTGGATCTATTCAATTTCTTTGTATCTCCCACACACCTACTCTGACCCCCACTGGTCACCAGGTAAATTTTTTGGGGTTCTTTTTGCCATTTTGGATTTTATATTTTCCAATTTTTCGATTTTATTGAATGATATGCAACAAATGATTACAGACGTCTGTGCACTACACGCAATCTTGAGAGCGCCATGGGGTATATTACATTGATTGTGCTCCCTTTGGGCTCATATATGCGCAGGTTTGACGGACTCACGACCGTCGAACATGCCAAGTACAGCTGATAAAGAACAAGGCGAACGTGCAAAGAACAAGGAGATAAGCCCACTCCTACCGTCCACCGGGACTGCCCTTGCGCTTTGTTGACCGTCATAGCGAGTGCAAGCTTTTCCGGAAACGGCAATCGCTCGAAGTCGAAGGACAAATCGGAGAGGATCAACAGGATTATATATGACAGCCTCAGCTTTGAACTTCCCCACCAAGATGGTCGCTTCCATGACGTTTGGCATGAGGTTTCTAACGCACAGTCTTGCCCCATTGCACAACCTCGGTGGGTTGATATTACGAAGGAGCATGATCGGCAAACCAACTTTTAGATCGAGTCTGTGAGAGAGGTATCCATTGCTCTCGAGTGAATTTAGGGACTCATTGGACAAATAAGCAGCCTATTCATGCTGAACCATCGTATTAACGGATGTGTAGGTTGATAGTGGTCCAGATAGGTTGTTTAGGAGCATTGATAGAATTTACGCGCCCATTTCTGGGTGCCTAAATGCTCGTTTGAGATCTACTCAAAATTGCTGAAGTTGGTGGCATTAGTTGGAGCGACCTTTTCGATTAGTTTCCCAACCGAATGAATCATGTTGCAAAATCCTAGCGGATGAATTATCATGCCGGAATTTGGTTCAGTAAGAATACCGCCTTTGCCAAGAAGCAACAGCTGTTGCGCAAAGCTTCTGGCAGTCTCATTGCCAAGGAGCTGAACTCGCATGCTCATTGTGACATTCAACGATCGATCATGTCTCCAGAGATGGAAAGCTTTGAGGCAAGCACTCAGCTCATCTGTCGACCGCGGAATTACTGGCAGAGGGAAAAAGTCGCCTGCCAGTAGCACTACGGCCCCAACCATTAGTCTGTTGCTCCCCCTATGTTCTGTCCTGGAGTTAGGCTAGGAACTTCTTATGCGCCATGATGCTTATCCCACCGTGAGTTTGGTATCTCTAACACCTTGGCTTTCCGTGTGCCGTTGCTTATCCCCATACAAGATGCCTTCAAGCTTCCCTTCGAGCAATATCTAAGGGAAGCTTGAAGGCTGAATGAGCAGTTCGGTCTCTTTGTAGCAGTGTTGAGGAAATCTCTGAGGATACTACTGCTAGTGCGATTTCCCATATTTGCAAATTTCACAACAATGTTTAGCCGGTGGCCATTTTGGATGACATGTATACCATATCAAAGAGCGAGAAACGCTAAATCCAACTCTGTTGGAACAAAAAATTGAATGTGAATTTATGGTAGAACCAATTACTAGCAACGGAATGATCCCAACTTAAGGCCCCAGGCAGACTTCACGCGATTTGATCGTCGCGACTGAATCGCGAGGAGACAACTGTTACAACATCATTGCATGCCGATCAACTTGCATTTCGGTTGTGATACTTTTCCAGCCGGAAATTTTTGAATGTGAAATGAAAATGAATGGAAATGTCGGCGATTGAGTCGCGACGATCAAATCGCGTGAAGTCTGTCCGGGGCCTAAGGTGGCGAATTGGAATGAACCGCATGTCATTAGATGAGTCTTGATGAGCTGATTCCAAATCTCTACCTTTCATATCTGCGATGCCGTTCTCTGCAAAAAGTTATAAGCTGGTGAAAATGTGAAGTCGTTGGGGTCTCAATGCATAATGTGTTTCAAAATCTAACTTGGGAGGGTATGACTAGCGTGATATTTAGTGTACTGATTTCGACGAAAGCTCACATTCAAAAGAAACACAAATAAGTGTTTTTGAACGTCTAAGCAGCCAAAACTTTTTATAAAAGCTATGAGCAATGAAAAGTCCCAATTTGGCAAATTTACGGCGCCTTACCTCGAAAATTAGTTGTTCAAAAACACTTATTTGTGTTTCTCTTGAATGTGAGCATCCGTCGAAACCAGTATACTCAATATCATGCCAGTCATACCCTCCCAAGTTGGATTTTGAAACACATTATGCATTGAGACCCCAATGACTTCACATTTTCACCAGCTCATAACTTTTTGCAGAGAACGGCATCGCAGATATGAAAGGTAGATTTGGAATCAGCTTATCAAGGCGCACTCAATGATATGCAGATCATTGCAATCCGCCACCTTAAGTTGGGATCGTTTCCTTATAAGATCTTCCTACCTTAAATAAAGCAAACCAAGTGTGACGTATTTTTATCCAAGTATATTTATTGATCAAGTTGCTCTGGTCATTATCACTGCTTTCTTGAAGCGCTAAAAACTTATTACGACGAATTTTGTCCTATATGCACATGTGAATCTTTGCTTTAAAAAGAGCTCATAACTCCTAGCCCATAAACGTTCCGCAGATGAGGCGTCCCATCATAGAAAGGTCACCTCGACTATATACGTCTCCTTGCCAGCAAGTAAGAGGTTGATGAGAAACCTCACTCCCACTTGGAGCATCGAGAAAATGTAGCTCACCTATGCTACTAGAAATCGTGTCCGTAACAGCCACGGCGCTAAGTTTGGATCCTCCGTGAGGAGAGATATGTTAGACTCTAGGAATTTCTCCAGCTGGTCAAATCGTAGGACCTCTCGCGAAGAACATCACCGTTAAATGCTTGACCATCTTCACGTCTTGGTGACGGCAAACCCAGCTATTCAAGAGTTTTGCCTGTCATCGACGCGCAAGTGTCTTCAAGCAATATCGACGCTCGGTTGAATATTTCGGGAGAGTAGTCGAGGTACATGTAGTTATCCCCTCTGCGATATTTCCCAAAAATGTTTTCCCTTAAAGCCTTCTCATGCTTCTTCCACAGTATTTGGGGATTTGATGGCGTGCAGGTTGTCAACATGGTGGCAAAGAGACTTTGCAACTGAGCAGCGAAACTTTTCGCAGATGTTTCTGCGAGAGTTCCTTCCCAGCGCTGATCATCTTCAAGCAAGCCAAGTCTTCTGCATGCTGCTCTCAGGTAACATTTGTATGGTATCTACAAGCTAATTTGGATGTTCAAAAGCAGTGGCCTGGCCAAACCAAATATCTCGAATTTTGATATGCATGGTTGCTTGCATCCCAAACATCAGAAAAAAGCAGGTCCGGGCGCACCACATGCTGGCCCTGCCTAGAAAACTGCCCCTAAACCCGTGCTCGTAAGCCATTCTTACAAGTGCTCGGACGAGCTTGCGGTCCCCTCCCCACCGTCAGCGGCATGCCGCAATGCTATAAACAGAGGGGCAACGACTCTACGTCTCCCATGGCAGCGAGTGGTCCACTCATCCAAATTCAAGATGAGAACCCTTAGAACGCCACTTTTCGACATTTTCGTGATCTTAAAGTGTATTTTTGAGACCAGCCGAATCACCCGAGGTAAACGGAAAAACTCCGGGTCGAGGACATGCCGAGCCACTGTCTTCAATTGCATTACATGAGTTCTTCATCAACAAAATATCGTACATACCATACTCAAGCAACCTACTATCAAGTACAAAAATATTAATCTATCACATAGTTATTCTTAATAACAAAAACAGTCACATCAGTTACGCCAAAATTTTGAACATCCGCTAGTCGGTACCGCTCATTTTGGCCATCGCTGTTTCCCTTTTCGTGATTCCTGTCATAATGCACATGACCTTGTTTCGTTAGCCTCGTCGTTGCTCTTCTCTGCGTTGGCGGCGGTCTGGTTGTCCTCTTCGTCGTTCCGTCATTTTTTCCTCAACGTCGTTGGTGGCATCATCGTTCGATTATACCCAGAACTGTAGTATTAATAAGCAGATTCAGAGCATCGGTGCTTACCTCCTCTTCGAAATTGCGTCGCTAAGGTCCTTGGCTGTGGTCTCCAGTGGAAATGTAGGTTTAAAGAAGGCTAGTTTTTCCCATCAAGAGCTCACCGCTTTTTGGGGAGTGACCCCTTCCAGCTGGCGCTTCGGCACCTGCGGCACGCCTTTAACAGGCAATTTTATCAATAGCGAAACTCGCCATTCGCTGTCAGGCACACCATTTCCCGCTGGGTAAGAAGCATCGCCGTTCTTTGCAGCGCGGCTACTACCTCGCAAAACGGAGTGTCCGCGTCGCCATTGTTGGTAGCGGGTGGTGTCCGCACCGCCATCGCCGGCGTCGGTCAGCGGCCGCTCCCCTTTTGGGAGAGCAGCGGTGGCCGTGCCATTTGCAACAATCAGCAGAGGCTGTTCTGCCCCACGGCAGCGGAGCAGTGCCTCACCCAGAGAAAAATGGCATTGTCCTGGGCCCACCAAGGCCATTGGAGAGCGTCTTCCATTGCGTCCTCGAACACGAAACTGAACCGGAAGCAATCGCATCCCATCGGAGACCCCTCAGGCGCGCGGCTTGTACTTCAAAGGTGTATATAGTGTAACAACCTGATTAATAGGGAAATTCCAAAATGACTAAAAATCCGTAATTCTCTTTTGAGAGACGTCCAGGTGCCCGGAGTCAAAAAGAAATCTATGCTAACTTTTGATCCCGCCAGTGCCATATGTGTATTTTTTGCTCCTCCCTATGGGTCTGCAGATTTTCACTAAAAAATCCAGAAAACGCCTAAAAATGCATGAATTTCCTTGCAACCTGAGGAAAAGAAAAGAAAAGTAAAACGTTGATAAAGGATTGAAGAAAAATTGTATCTTTTATAAGTCAAAAAATCGGCGCGATTATTCCTTGCGAACTCCCAGCCACGCAACTCAAGGTCTGCAAATACAGTGCTGGACATAATTATAACTCTCAAATTTTTTATACAATTACATCCCAAAATATGAAACATTTGCAACACCTATGGCCTGTCATCCAACTTAAACAGAAGCGATCACTGCAATTTTTGCTTTCAAAAGCATTAAAAGTCGCTTCAACAAACAACTGATTTGAAGAGTTTTCAAGCTCCTGTTCATTTCAAATGATAATCGTGAAATCTACTGACCCTTCTGGATAGATGAGGTGAAGAGCGCTTTCGTATGCGTAATCGCTGATTTTGAAGGCAGACTGCAACCTCACCATAAGGTTGAAACGCTTTTAAACCACAAAACTTAGTTTGCAATGTCCACAAAGTACTGAACTTGATTTATTACATTGCCTACATGGGGATGCAACTTTCGCAACAACTTTCATATTTTCCCTAGTGATGCGGTAGCGATTTAGGCCTGAAATACTTTCCACGAAAATTCCCTACGAGCAGAAGATTCGATATAACCCTAGATCTTCTCCTTATTTCCGTCTGTGTTTCATGTCATATTTCACCCCATGAATGAGATTAGCTAAGATTCTGAAGTTTTAAGCGTCTCCGGTTTTATCTCGTGATCTGAGCTGGCTTTGATTGTGCAGGGTGCTCCACTCAACATTCAATGGATGTCAACTGCGGCTGAACCAGTGTGCTCAATCCCTAAATTTTTTCCCAGTCATGCACAAGAGTTCGCTGTTGTATGGCTGTCGAAATGGCTACATTACAGTATTTTCTGTCGCTTGAAAATCGAGTTTTGTGGTGCAAAAGTGCGTAATGGTAAATGGTGCAAAAGTGCGTAATGCAAAAGTGCGTTTTGTGGTGCCCTATGGTAAGGTTGCAGTCTGTCCGTCAAAATCAAGCGATTACGCAGAATTTACGAAAGCGCTCTTCACCTCATCTATCCAGAAGGGTCAGTAGATTCCATGATTATCATTTGAAATGAACAAGAGCTTGAAAACTCTTCAAACCAGTTGTTTGTTGAAGCAGATTGACTTTTGGTGCTTTTGAAAGCAGAAATTGAAGTTATCGCTTCTATTTAAGTAGGATGACAGGCCGTAGGTGTTGCAAATGTTTCATATTTTGGGATGTAATTGTACAAGAAAATTCGAGAGTCAACGAATGCGATAGTGATTAGAAAAACCAGGTCGTTTTATAATCTTGTCCAGCTCTTAAAGGCAGTGTCCCGGCAGATTTTGCACCTCCACCTTTTTGCATGTTTTAGGCCTTTTCGCCACGTAGAATCCGAATTTGAGCTTTGAACGGGCTGAAAAGGCCGATTTTGGGGCGTTTTCCTAATTTCAGAAAAGCAGCTTGGACGAGATTTTTGATGGAAAGTTGCGGGAGGTCCTTAGACGAAGATCCTGCCGCCTGTAATTCTTGCTTTGGATAGCATGCATCATAGGGGAGAGCGCTCGTGGGGTCCCGCGCCGAACAGGCGGGGAAGGCCGTTTAAGCGCGCGCCAGTTGGGGTTGCGCGCGCCGGTTCAAGGGCCATTTTCTCGGCCCAGAGGGAACATCACCCAGCCGGAGTGCGCCTGGAGGTCGATGGGGTGACCAGGAACCCCACCACACGTATATCCCCCAGGACCCGAATCTGCCGGGACACTGCCTTTAAAGAGGGCTTTTTCGAATTTTTTGTTTTTCTCCGTTCAAATTCAACAAGACTGAGAGCGGTTTTGAGAGATCATGATAGGTTGACATGCGTCCAATACAGCAAACTTTCAGACAGATTCATTGACAAGAACGAAAATTACGACGATTTCTAGAGTGGCTTTATAATTATGTCCAGCACTGTATTAGGTTGTCCCAAAAGTAAACCGTACTTTTAAATAAATCAAACCGTTTTTGATTTCCTGGCCGGCTTGGGGTACCATTCGATAGAGCGAAACAAGCTCTACATAATGACCGCAAAAGATCCGTTTATGTCGCAATCCAGGTAAAGTTCGGAGCAAAAATCAAAAAAAAATTTATTAACAGAGATTCGAATTTTTGCGAAGAATAATCGTACGGTTGGTCATTATACAGTAGACACATAGTAGTACTCAAATATGCCTTTACTGGAATTTCTTCCGAGCTTAGAAAGCGAGAAAAAAGAGATAGTCTAAAAATGGCAAACTCCGCCCCCAGCGTCTCCCACATATGTCATTGTATACTATAAGCCTTGCTAAGTATAATCTTAACTTTATTCCTGTAGGTGCTCTTATTATCGAGAAATACCAAGTTTTACATAAAAAACCTGAAAAAGTGGCATTTTGGCATTTTGGGACCATCTTTGTTTCTCAATTTTGAGCGCCGGAAAAAATCAACCAAAAACATTTTTCGGTACTACTATGTGTCTACTATATAAGGACCAAGTTGGAAGTCCGTAGATATTTTCTGGAAGAGGTTCGATTTCTAGAATAGCTGGAAAATTTTGATTTTTGGATCCAAATTTTAACTGGAGAGCGACTTAAACGGTTCTTTAGTGGTCATTTTGTAGAGCTTGCTTCGCTTTATCGAATGGTGCTCCAAGTCTGCCAGGAAAGCAAATTCAATTTGATTTATTTAGATATGCGGTTTACTTTTGGGACAACCTGATAACTTAATTAGACATTTTATATCAGGGGTGCGTTTTAAATGCATTTAGCAGAATAGCGAGCTTTTTTAGCACCTCTTTAGGAACTCTTACAAGGGAACGGTATTCGGTGTCCGCGGCCTTTTAAGAAGAAACAAATACCATCACACTCGTCTTGGAACGCTGATTCCGAATCTGACTTCCGTTTCTGCTAATTTCTCTGAAAGGATTTACGAAGGATTTTCACGTCAATGGTCGCCCAAGAGAAATACGGTCGATGATGCCTAACTTTCAAGAAGAGGCTTGATTGAGGCAGTGCAAAACTGAAAAACACAAAAGGACTTGAATTTGAACCTGCATCAACTTGTGAGGATACCGCACTAGCCACTTCACCACATCGTGCGGCGGTTTTGGCATTCCGACCTTATTTCCTTGGAGCAAAAAATCCTTTATAACTTTTTTCAAAGACGATTAGCAAAAACGAAAGTCAGATTTGGAATCAGCGCTCCAAGATGAGCGTAATCAAACGGACACCAAGTATCGTTTCCTTTTTAGACTTTATCACAGGGTTATAGAGCCAACTGGGTTGCAAGCGTACATCAGATCACGGTGTCGCTGTAGCTAGGAATTTCTTGTACTTAAAAAATTATTTGTAAGGCTGCAGTTATGCAAATCACGAAGACTTCACTTTTTCGATCCTTTCGGATCGTCCACAACGCTTTTTGGCCCATTTCAGAAGGAACGCGTGATTCGCAGTGCCATGTATTTCTACCAGGTGCCTGCGCTAGCGGTCCGCGCGCGGCTGCCGTGAGTAACTGTGGGGCGCGCAAATCTTGCCATCAGCGGCGGGTGATCTACATCACAAATCTTCTATCGACTAAGGTGGCTTATGGAATTCGCACCCGTTATGGACATAACAGACGATAGAAACGCAGGAGAGCGTTCTCTAGAAACTCGAGTCTTATTTTTCTGTAGTTTTCTAAACCCTGATTCAACATGCTACTGATTGGTGAGTTTTTTTATAACGTATTCACTATTTTGTCATTTCTTTGCATAGGATGAGGTCAGTGGAGGTTTTGACTGTTGAGAATTCCTGAATGCTCTCAACTTTTTGAAACTTGAGCTGGCCTCTTTCTGATATTATTCTGATACTGGATTGACCTTCTTTACTTTTCCATTCACTCTAATAATTATTGGAGTCGATCATGTTAATAATTTTACTTGTCTCTCATACAGTGCTGGCCATAGCTATAAAGCCACCCTAAAAGTCACTGCAATTTGCCCTCTTTTGCTTATAATTGTTTGAAAAAAAAGACACTATTCTATGTGCAAACAAACGACATATCATTGACCAGAACGGCTCCCAATTTCACTGGTTTTGGCCGGAGAAAAATTGAAGAATTTGAAAAAACGGGTTCTCAAGGCTGGTCACAGCTATAAAGCCGCCTATCATTCCAATCAGTACTACGTTTTTTGAACCTAAAATTTTTTTGTATATACATCATAATATGAAACATTTGTTACACTTGGAAGCTGTCGCCTTTTCAAAAAGAAGATTCATCCTGCATTTTTTGCTTTAAAATGTATAAAAAATTATAATGAAAAGACTGCCTTTTCATCAAATTCTCAAGCACTCGTTTGACTCGGATGAAGGTCCTAGGATTCGCTTAGCTTTTCCAATGAACACGGTGAAAGGCTCTGGATTCAACATTGCGTAGTCGCTGATCTTGATAAAAGAGCCCCAACCTCACCTCCATGTAGACGAGTTTTCGATGCGAGAAGCTGAGTTCTAATGCCCGAAATGCTCTGTCATGTGTTCAGCACGTCGCCAGTACAACGATAGGCTTGTGCGCATAGCTTAAAGGCAGCGTCCAGGCAGATCTGGACCTATGGGGCTTTTACGTGGAAAGTACTTTTGGGGCCCTAACTAAGGCACTGCCCAAGCGGCAGCTCAGGTAGTGCTGTGATGGCTGAGATATTCCCCTCGAAACTGGACCCCGCGGCCGTGTTTCGCATGGATTCATGGCGCAAAGCGT